TCCTGCTGATTAATAAGCTGATATTAAGTTATAGGAATCTGCAACAGCATTGGGCAAAAGTCAGGGTTTCAAATCAGGGTCCATTTAAAGTGAAGCATAGGTCAATAAAAATAATTTGCTTCTCTTTCAGAGTTGGCAGAAGCTTTTGTTTGCATCCAAAAGGCCAAAGATATGGAAGGAGAAGAGTAAAGTGGTGTTGCAACGGGCGTGAAGTGTGACCTTTTTGTGGGCAGGCTGTTGCCTTGCTGGAGTACTCTCAAATTTAGTAGTGATACATATCTTAAAATGATTTTTTTTAAACATTTGGCTTGCAATGGTTGTGATTTCACTGTTATGAAAAAATAAATCCTATTGCCTTTTTAAAAAATATTTATTCTCTTTCTGTCATTAGCCTAAGTATCTGCCTTTTTGAGAACTCACAGAAACCATAGTAACAACAGAAATGGGATCTGATTAGGGTTATCTTCACTGTAGGGCTCCTGTGGGATTTCTGTGCTGTTCTACCTTGTGTGCCAGAACATAAAATAAGAACTGAAATGCAGTAAACATTCATGGTATACTGCTGAGTTAATGTATTAGTGATGATATATTGCTAAGACAAAGCTTGTAGTAATCCTGATTTAGTATAAGGAATATTTGCATGCAGCCTAAGGACTTGGGGCAAGGGGAGGTTAAAAAAAAAGATCCAAAACTGTACTAAGTTTAGAAAATTTGGAAGAATTAACAAATATATTTATTGAAAATGCCTTCTGCAAAGTTTATGTGGAAATAGTTCAAAACATTTTGTAAATTTTGAACTTTAATGCCTCTCTGCTGTGTATATTTACGCGAGGTATGTCTCAAGCAGGGGGACGTGGCAGACAGAGGTGATGTCTTGCTCAGAGCCAAGCTTCTGATGGTGTTTTTTTGAAAATAAATGTTCCTGGGTCTTATCCCGTTCTGCCAGGCAACTTTCTGTTGTTTTAGCAATCCGGTGAAAAAATCACAGCCAGACTTTTTTTTTTTAATAGCTGTGTGCATTGCTGAGTTACTTTTTAATGCCGCAAATACAAGAACCTTGCTTTAAAAGCTAAAATCCATCAGTGAATGAAAGAAAGAACACCCCACAGCCTCAGCAAAGCAGACTTCAGTCAAATGCTGCTTTAATCGGGTTCTCCAGATTCTGAAGGCTCTCGGCAGCGGCCCAAGGGGGAATTGCCTGCAAACCCTCGTAGCGCAGCCCTCCTCATGGCGTGCAGCGGGGATGGACCATGCCAGCGAGCGCAGCGCAGCGGCACGGGGCCACGCGAGGCCTGATGACTCACTCTTCCTGTCACATGAACCCTCACTGCTTTGCTAATAAGCACTTAGTTGAATTTTAGATGCCTGGAATCATTAAAAAGGCTGGAAGGCATTTGTGTACCTTGTCCATTAGAAGAAAAATCCACTTTCTATAACTGTATACCTCCTACAGCCTCTAGCACAATTTTAAGAAGTAACTAAGTTTTTTGCGTCATTACCTGGATAGCAATGGTTTGACGCTAGCAGTAAGTTCAGCTTGCTTCTCCCACATGAGGTAGTTTAAAGAATAGGTATTTCTTTTTGCTATTGAAAGAAGGCCCTTGTGAGAATTCCAGTGGTAAGAACTAATACTGCACTCGACTGTCCTGTTTCGTTTCATCTCTTGCAGTGGTGTCACATATATTCCTTTCCCCCTCCTTGGTGACTGTACTTGTAGGGTGCATAAGTCTTCTTCCTTTCGAACATCAGGGTTTTAATTTCTGCTGCCGCCTCACTAGGAGAGCAGGTAACGCAGGGCATGCAGTATCCAGAGTGTCTCGTGTGTTGGAGCCTTTCCTCCTTCCTTGATGGTCTGGGTCCTACATAGGCAGAAGAAAAAAAGGGGGAGAAGTACTGAATTTCCTGGGTAGACTGAAAATTAGCCTGGTGGAGCATTTTGTGAGAATTCGTAGACTCCAGAGCTGGGAGAGACTGAATCAACTAGTTTGACTCGCTGCATTTTATGTTATCCCTTACGTTGCCCCTCTCGCACTGTGTGCAGGCTGCTCCTGAATTTCTGCAAGCAGTGCGCGCGCTTTTTTTTTTTAATTTATTGTTATTTTTTTAAAGCTTATTTTAATAAACAATTACTTCACAAGTTAATTTGCATTTTCTTCTAATGGAACTCCATGGGGTTTGTAAAATAAGGCATTTTTGTTTCTTGGTAAGGGCTCAGGCTGAGTTAACTGGTTTGGAAAAGATGAAGACGCATTGCTGTTGTAGGAGCTGCTGCAGCTTATCGTGTAATTGCTTGTGTGCCCGGAGGCTAATTAAAGCTGCAGCTATCGAGGCAGGTGCCTGCCGCCTCCGCCCTGTGTACCCCGTGGCCTCGCTCCTGGTGCGCAGAAAGGGATTGATTTTGTGTGCGCTCGCGTCTGCCCGGGTCCAGCATTGTGCATGTCTCCTGCTGACACCCACAGCATCTGTGCTAGGAGGTGCTCTTGGTGTAATACGGATTAAATTTTCATCCGATCACTTAATTAATTTCTCCTTCTTCAGTGAAGTGGTTTAGCTTTGTGCCATGTAGGGAGTTCTTACCCGGAAAGCTTGAGGCTGAGCAGCTCCCTCTTTTTTTCCACCTCTGCCGTCTGGAAAATGTGAGTGGGGATGGCGGCTGCTGTTCGAGTAGGAAGGTGATCTTCGTCTGCCGGTGAGCAGAGTCCTGCTTCTGTGACGGTCTGTTATTTTGGTACGGCTGGACTGGGTGACAGTGCTGCTGAATGTTTTCCAGCGCTGCCCGGTGCTGTTTCTTTCCCCGTCTCGGCCAACCCCTTGGACCTGCCAGCAGAACGGTTCTGTCGCTGCCTGCTAACCCCAGTCACTGAAACCTTACTAGGTTAAACTCCTTAGCGGCCGGTGTGGTTAAGATCATCTTTGACGTAACTGGCGTCGGGAGCTATGACACGGCAGCTCTGCCGGCAGGATGGGGAGGACGGCAGCCTCCACGCCGAGGAGGGGGAAGCCAGCGGGGACATTGCGTCTGGGTGAGCCACTGGCTTGCCGCTGCTCGCGGTCGTGGAGCTGATGGAGGTGTGCGGCTGTCCAGTTAATGGCGGAGGAGAGGAAGCAATCCATGCTCTTCTCGGCAAGCTTGTAGGACTCGGGTGTCTCACAGTTCAGACGTGCGGCTGTGGTTTGGATGCAAGTGTCTGATGAATTGCACTTAAAACATCTGAAAAAGTTTTGGCTTTGACTTTCACAGAGGACATGGATGTAGTCTGATCTTTGACCTTAGGCAGCAAAAGGAATAAAAACCTGAGACGCAGCACAGTTACATATAAAACAAGACCTCCATTTGGAAGTGTGAGCTGGTTTTTTGGTTTTGTTTTTTTTTTCCCCCCTGGTAAGACATACAAGTAAAATAAGAACATATCCCCCCCTCCCCACCCCCTCACCTCCCTGCATTAATAAATGCTTGGGAAGGACTTGAATGGCAAAGACAACACAGCAAAATATCATGGACGGCTTCAAGAGTGTTAGCATGGGCGTGCAGGAGGGAGAGTTCAAGAACATGTTAAGGAAGAAGTTGTGGGGCTGCTGCTGTTTTGTGGTGGTTACAAGAGGGTAGTACCTCTCTGTTCAGGCAAGTGGTTCAGTCCCAAGGTGCTTATTTGAAATGAGTTGTCTTTCTGCATAAAACCTCAGCTTCTTTGTTGATGAGATGATGAGAAATGGCAAGAAAAAAATTAGATGGCAGCTGATCTGTAAATTCCTTTCTGGTGCGTTCTGCTTTGAACACTTCTGGCTTGGTGTTGTCAGCTTCTCTAATCAAAGCCTGTGTTTGCATACCTGCTTCAAGCAAGTGGCACTGTGTATTTGATAAGCTGTATGGTTATTTATACAGAGCCTGTGGGAAGCACAGTGCACAAGATAAGCTGTCTTCTTTTCAGTCATACAGTGTGAAAGGTTGAAGGGAAATGGCAAGATTCATACTTAGATGTAACATTAAGTAATGTATCCATGAAAAAACCCTTCCTTAGCAAAGCCACAGGCAGCAATGGAGTCTTCTGTTAGGTATCTCATGGCATTTCTTCGACTAAAACAGGCGCAACTGCAGCTCCTACGCAGTGTGAGCCGAGGAATCTGAGGAAGTGCCAGGGAAATGGAAAGGTACTAAAAAGGTGTATGCTGTGCTTTGTTGAAGTCCAGGTGTGTGAGTGAGAATACAATTTAAAAATACATTAAAACTGAGATGGCATATTGATCATTTCAAGTGGGAGTGCTCCGGAGGGAAGTTGAGCAGCTGCTCAAATGTCCCACGGTGCCGAAGAAGAGTCTTCTTCCAGAAGAGTCTCTTGTGTGCAATTAAAACTACAGGGGTAATTTCACAGAACTTGAGAAACCCCACTAACCTCTCTTGTGTGTGGGTCTGTTCAGCTGCAGAATGAAGAGGAGCCAGGCGAGACTGCACCAGTGGTCAATGATGCCCCTCCACCTTACAGCAGCATTTCTGCAGAGAATACAGGTAAATTTAACTGAAAGGAAATAACTAGGTTTGCTCTGTTGTTCTTTCTTAATTGTTCTTCTTACTGACAGATGGCATTGCGGCATCCTTACCAAGGCTGCAAGGATCAGAATCGATCCAGAGAGACTATTGTTACTTGTGGTTTAGAAGATGCATTTTGGCTACATTCATCTGATGTCATCCCATAAAATGGTGTTCAAGTTACATTTCACAGTGTTCTCGGTAGATTGAAGACAGTTAAAAATCAAAGTGCTTTGAGGATTTGTGGTTCCCTTCTCATTATTTGGCATTGGATTATACTGTGCTCCTTCCAAAAAGGACTTGATACTTAAAAGGGATGAAAGAATTCACTCTTTGTGCAGTTTTCAATAACTAAGGACTTCATCATAAGGATTATACATGTTCTGAATCGTCATACTGTCATGTCACTAACAGCTTTTAGGAAAACAGCTTGTTTTGTGCTGGTTATGTATCAGAGTATTTTGGTTTAGATAGATCTTCTAATTTTTTTTCCTCCAGAACTTTTCATAGTCAACCGTTCAAATGAGATTCATGAATCAAATGCAGCATAGTCTCTCAGTCAGCCAGCTTTGGATAGAAGTTTGAATATTGTGTTTCTCAAGCTGCCTCTTGAGTGTCCTGCCTTGGAACACCAACTGTAAAGATGTCCCATTAGTTCTGGTTCCGAAGCGCGACTCAGCGACTGGGACTTGGAAGTGCTATGTTTGATTTTTGTTCCAATCGCTTTCCCCTCCATCAGAAAACAATTTGGAGTCTCTCTCTGGAAAAGATGGTCACCAGTGCCTTGAGGCTTGCAGTGATCCTTCTTTGACTCATTCAAACCACTTGAATTTGAAAATATGACTACTTCTGTTTATTGAAGTCAGGAGTGACACAGTATGCATCACTGTGTTAAAAATAAGTACAGCCAGGCATGTTAAAGTAGTGCTCTGCATATAACTTTATATTGGATGAGGTGGTCCCATGTTTTTCACTTCCTGTTTTGGGATGGCAAGAGGCTAGAAGGGTGGGGAGGGGACAGGAGGGGCAGGCTTCAACAGTCTGGGGTATTGGGGTCTTCTGAAGTCATCTGAAACGTTTCTCTTTCCCAACACAGTGTTCTTAAGGAACTGACAAGTTACCTTCTATATAACTGTGGTTTTTTTCAGCTTATTTTGACTACAAGGATGAGTCAGGATTTCCTAAGCCTCCATCTTACAACGTGGCCACAACATTGCCTAGTTATGATGAGGCAGAGAGAACCAAGGCTGAAGCCACAATTCCCTTGGTTCCTGGAAGGGTGAGTACGCTTGGCTGGCTGGATGTCCTTCGCACTGCTTGTGTAGAATTTCTGGTTTAACTCCTGCTGATCAAGTGTCATGATTTTTTTTAAGCTTTCTGGGGTGATGATGTTACACACTCCCAAGAGTTCTATGGCTAATTTTGTGGAGTGTTTTTTTAGTTTTGTTTTGTTTTTAATTTTCCTCTGGGCAGCTATGATGATGGCATTACATCTCAGTAATGCCAGCATGTGCTGTCCAGATCAGTTTGGCAAGCTGACAGAGGAACTGTGCTGTATCTGTGTGCACTGTCACTGTTTTTTTCTTTTTTTTTTCTTTAAAGATTTAGGATTAATTTTTCAGCCATCTAGCATATCTACGCTTGATACTCCTGCTGCTTACTCAGTTGACTTTTCCAGAGGTCACTGTGGCTGATACAAGGATGATAAACCATTCTGTCAGAATAATTACTTTTTCATTTTTTTAATTTCTTTTTGTTGTTTTCAACATTATCTCTTGTTCAGCCTCTTCCCTCATCCCTACTAGCATTAGATGTCCACTGCTCATTATACTTCTTCATAGAAGCTAAATTCCTTGCTGAGATGATAAGTTTAATTTTTTGATGAGTAGGGGAATTCTTTACAGTGAGAACAGGAACATGCTGGACCTTGACTGTCTTAAAAAAAAAAAAAAAAAGAAAAGAAAAAAAAAAAGAAAAATACTGCCAGTGACTTAATATTTCATGCCCTGCATCATCTCTGGATGAGGAGTGGGGATTTTTCCTCCTTGCATTTGTAGCATTTTGAGATTGATGGTTCCCACCCTCCTTAAGTGTGAACGAAGCATTTTGCATCCCTCCATTGTACACTGCTTTTTGAGGGCTATACAATTTGCTGGCCCCTTCTTGAAGAGCCACATGCAGAATTGAGATTGCTGTATGGACTGGACTGATTTAAATCCACCCACGTCTTGTCTGCCTTTGATTTGCAGGATGATGACTTTGTGACACGGGATGACTTTGACGACACCGACCAGCTGAGGATAGGAAATGATGGCATTTTCATGCTAACTTTCTTTAGTAAGTACATGGTGGAACTTAACTTTTTTCAAGCAGTGACCCAAAATAGCTAGAGTTATTTTCACACTTAGGTTTATGTAGCACCAGGAAAAACCTGTGTGGAAGGGTTTTATGGTTTTGGGGTTTTTTTTTCCTTGGACTATAAAGAGGATTTGACCTGCTGCCTTTCTGCTGCTTTCTCAGTGGCATTCCTCTTCAACTGGATTGGATTTTTCCTGTCTTTCTGTCTGACTACTTCAGCTGCAGGACGATATGGGGCCATTTCTGGGTTTGGTCTGTCTCTTATTAAGTGGATCCTTATTGTCAGGGTAAGTGCAAAACCACGTACATAGACACTAGTACTTTTTTTTCCCCCAGCTCTTTTTTATCTCACTTATATGAAGTTAGTTATAAATTTAGCTTTTTATAATGAAATAGATTTTGAGGCCCTTATTCACCGAGAGCTTTTTCATCATCCTGTCCTGTTCATATGCTGGAATTATTACTGTAATAAAAGAGAATAAAGATTGCACACCCAGGTATGGTGCGCTCTGACAGAGCCCCTGTATTGGATCAAAAGGTGTTTGTGTCTTGAGCAGTAACAATGATCTGATCTTTGTAAAACATTTCTCCAGGTAAAGCAAGCCCTGCCGTCAGCACAGGGATGTTTCTCTCCAGTATGATGTTCCTTAGGTGCTCCTCTGGGGGGGGAAAAAAATAATCCTCTGAAATGTGGGATAGCCGATGAGGACAGCAAAATAGGGACTTGAAAAATGGGAGGTGTGAGGTTTGCTTTTGCTGGGGGTAGAGGCAGCCACGGCTTTGTCACATGGATGGGAGAAGCCCGCTGGTGCCCTCTGGTGTGACACGCCTGCGGCACAAGCAGCAGAGCGTCAGGAGGAAGCGCGCTTCTCTCCTGCTTCCAAGCTCTGGGCATATCCAAGCTGTTAGAACATCCCCTGTGCTCCCCTCCACCAGGTCACCCAGGGAGAGGAAGGGGATGGCTGATCAGAACTGCCCTCCTGGGCTCAGACCTCTGCCTGCAGAAGCAAGAAAGGCTGATACAGTATTTTTGAAAACTTGGAGGAGGAGAAAGAGAAACCTTTCTGGGGGGAAAAAAAGTATATAGATATGCTGATGCTGGAAGGAATGGGGGGGGAAGCCAAAGTATTTTTTGGAGGGATTGGGAGAAAATATTTCTATTGGAAAAGCTTTATTTGGAGCCTGTGGAAAGATGGTGTCTGTGAAAACGTTATGCAGACGTGCCAGGCTGAAAGTTTGAATTTCAAGCAAGAAAGCTCATCAGCTGTGCATAAGTAGAGAGCATTATTTCTGGGGCTGTCACTTCATACCTAATCTTTTGTGACTAAGAGTTATAATTTGTAAATACAGTATTTGTTAATTTTTTCTGTAGAAAGTTTACCTTTTTGGGGTCATTTTGTAACAGTGGTGTTAAAAACTGTTTACTGGATCAGGAGGTGTGACAGAAGCAGGTGACCTTAACTGTGTATTTGATTTAAACTTCGATAACAAGCTTACCTTTTGTTAGGTTTTAAAACTTGAATAGGAAGAAAACAAAAAAGTTAAATTGTGTTTACCACATACAATTACAAGTTACATAGTGATGTTATATACAAGTCACATAGTGAACTTCAGTGCTGTCATAGTGTTGGTGCCTTTAATTCAATAAGCAGTAATTTTGCCAACAGAAAATCTTGTCAGAGGGTTCCACAGATCTGGGATTTCGTTTTCAACTTTTGTTTGCTATACTGTCCAACCTTACAGTGTAATTAACATGATGCACTGCTGCAAACCTAGTCTTCCCTTTCAGAAACTGCAGCCGTGGTTTATGAACATCAAAGATGTCAGGCAAAATAGGAGTGTTTGCTCAGTAGTGTCTTTCTGCTCCACCGACTGCAAGAGTTTATGTCTGGGTATTGCATCTGTTCCGTTCCCCTTTGTTAGAGTTGGTCTGACGTGTGTAGAAAAACCTTAAATGAAAGCTCATGGAGGTAGCTTGCTTCCTGCAGTCTGTGCAGTTGATGAAATACAGCATTCTGTAAGCTCTCTTGTATGCGGCGGGCTTGATTTGGTTACTGCTGGAATTGCTGAAAACGTATTTGGGTTCGGAGACTTCCATGTACTCTAACTGGTTGGGTTTTGTTTGATTTTTTTTTAGTTCTCCACCTATTTTCCTGGTTACTTTGATGGCCAATATTGGCTTTGGTGGGTCTTCCTTGTACTAGGTGAGTGTTTGTTCGGGGGGGTAAGAGGGAATGCATGCTTAAAAACTTTGTAAACTGCAGTTAGGGCTTTTGTGAGCATAGCTTTACTGGCTATTAAAATGTGTGCATATAGATGTAAAACTGAAATGTCAGCCTCAGAGGACGACTCCTGCTCTTACTGAACGCCTTCTAGGTTTTAAAGGTACACATAAACACTGTCCGTTCGTTGTCATTTCTTGGTGGCAGCATCCTGTTTATCATCCAGAATGAGTAAAGAGGAGAACAATGCGTGTCTTCACAGTAATTGATGTTATATCTGTTCTTCTATTTTAAATGCAAGAGTGCGTTGCAGTCTGTCTTTTTTTCTTTTCTTTTTCCTCCTTTGGAAATGACTGGATCTCATTTGGAGTCGAAAGTTTTGTGATTGCCTAAGGAAAGTTTGTTTTTGAGATTGCCTGAAATGGAAAGATTAGGTGTCACTGATACCCCAAGATTTGTTGTATTTAATCAGCTATTGTGCATCCCAGTGACTTAGGTCCCTCCGTGCTAGTAACGGTGAGTTGAAATGCTCCCTCTCCAATTGAAGAAGCAACACCTGTGTTAACTGGACAAATATGTTTCTCCCATCTAGGTTTTCTGCTGTTTCTCAGAGGATTTATTAATTACGCAAAGGTTAGGAAGATGCCAGATACTTTTTCCACTCTGCCCAGAACCAGGGTTCTCTTTATTTACTAAAGGTAAAGTTTCTGCTTTCCTGAATTTTCTCTGTTCTGTTTTTAACTCTATTTAGTGACTCTCTTAGGCTAGACTTTTCTTTGCTTGAATATTTTTAGAATACAAGACAGCAGAAAACAGTTGCTTCTTGGTATCCCATACGCAGCTCCTGTTTCTACAGTGTCCAGACTGACTTGGTGGGGAGCAGAGGAATGCTTGATGTTTCTTCCTAAGTTTTTGCTTTGAGGAATTGTATATTCATTAGATTGCATAACCTGGATTGCAAGAACAACGTCTCTGCCCCTTGGTATTGCATTGTATTTGGCAGGCATGTCTTTCAGAATAAATAGCATGCCTGAAGCACGTGGTATGTGCTAAACGTGAGTAAAGGTCACAAAATGTTAGAAGATTCTGCCAGTGTCTTTGGTTTATGGCCCAGAAAGAACAATTTGTCTGGATTTTGTGTGCCGTTTGATTTACTTCCAAATTCCTGAAGAAGTTAAACTCTTGCACACCTTTGCTTTCTGAAAACCCTCCCACATACTTGGAGATACTGTCCTGTCTGAACCATAATGCCTAAGAGTCTTTCGCTTTAAGGCTGAACCTTAACAGTGCTGCCTTCTTAATGGGACTTTAAAGGAGGAGGCTTAAGTAGTTGAACCCTTCTAGCATAATTTCCTGCTTGCAGCAGATAATGGCCTTGCATTAACTGTCCCTCCCTGAGGGGAAGGAAATCCTGTAATAGGTTGCTTCCCAGATGGCGAGTGCAACACGATGCTCCCTTTAGAAATATCATAATAACACTAGATTTCCCCAAGACAGGGTTGAAGCAATTGCAGCTGGAACAGTAGTATAAAGAAACCAAACAAACCCCAGCTTTAAATTGGGGGTCATTAAATTGTTCAGAATTTAAAACTGAGGCTTGATTTTTCCAAATGCACTTTCCTTTTATTAGAAACTGCAAATTGCATAAGATTCTGCTTCATTTCTAGTCTGTAATGAGAACACGCTACACAAAACGGTCATTGTGCAGTGTTTTCCAGCTTGAATTTTCCACTGGTGATAGTGTGTAAAAATAGTTCAGTCAATTTATTTAAGTGTTTCTGTTCTGTTTAACAAAGTTACGGTTTATGACCTCCTCTGGGATTCGTAATATCCTCTCAAATTCATGCTGAATCACCAGAGGGTTTATTTCCCCCAGTTGTATGGTCATGTAGTGTGAGTGTTTATGCATCAGCTGTATCATCTGTAGTTCTCACGGAACAATTTTTAAAATTTTGCTCTTTTACTGAAACTTAATTTTTCACTTGTTAAAGGAACTGTGTGGTTTCTTGTTGCACAGGCTTTTCCTATGTTCAGAATTTGAAATTACAATTTTAGAGACCTTGCTTGACTCCTTGCTTGTGAGGATGGAGGTGTAGAGTTTGGGGATTTTTAAAATTTATTTAGTTATTCATTTTTTTGGAAACCTCTAAAATGGCCAAAACACTCTCTTTTAGATATATTGAGATAAATATCCAGAATAATTTCTAAATATTACAACTTTGACACTTCCCCTGAAAATAAATCTTTACATTCTGAGCAGGGGAACCACAAAAGACTTGGATTTTCAGTGTAGTATAGTTCTTAAGATTAGATTTCCTCTATAGTGAAAAGGGCACAGTGATTGATCATTTTCATTTTAGAGCAGGGATCAGTATTAGAAAATTAGTGCACAGCAGAAAACAATAACTGGTGAAAACGAATCCAATCGAAAGCTTGGCATTTGCTGTTCAGTCTGCGCGTGCGAGCAACGCGCAGCGTCGTTGGCAGTATCTCAGCAGAGCTCGTCAGCCGTGTGATAAGGGCAGGTGCTTTGTGCCGGATCTGGGGTTAAATCGTTCCAGCCGGCGTGGCTGGAGTGGGCAGTGTGCGAGAGCTGATGTCTCTCTCATACCAGAACACTTGGTAGAAAGATGCAAAGCTCATCATCATGCTGGGTGGATGCAGCAACTAAAGACCGAGCCAAATCTTGTTCTCATAGCGCAAACGCAGTGTCATGTCGTATGCCTATGTGTTTTTACGCCGGTGTTTCTAAGAGCATTGTCTGGTTTAGTGTCCGTTTTCCCCTAAGGAATTTTAACTCTTTGTAACTATAAAATATGCACAAAACCACTGAGCGTTTTGCTCGAGCCATGTCATTGTGTGCTGGGGTACTTTATAAGCCTTTAGACATCCTGCACTCTTTGTGAACTACATCCTTCTGTTATCCAAAATAACAATCTAACTATAGTTTCAATATTCAATATCCTTCTCCGACAGATGTTTTCTGGCAAACGTCTTCCTGCGTTAGTGAATTCTCTCTCAAGCAGCAGCAGGACACCTGCAGGAAGTGAATCAAGACTCTGGAGCAGAAGAAAAAATAATCACCTGCTTTAAAATAAATAAATAAATAAAGTACTGTCGGGGAAGAAAAAAAAAAAAGAGAAGCATTTCTTTCTATTTGTTTCTAGGTGTAAAATTTTAATAATTAATGCAGAATTCTGTACTCATTGAATCATTAGTGGCTAATGTTTGAAAAAGCTATTGCAGTCGAGTCTGTGACGTGCTGATAAAGCCCTATATAGATAGTTTCTGTAGTGATTTCGGTAGCATGAGCCCAGCCCCGGAGCCAGCAGGGGACAGGCTTGCTTTATTTCCTCCTCCAGCCTGGGAGCGGGTTTGGCCTCTGGTCTGTCCTGTACAGCCCGCGTGAAGCGGAGGGCCCGCAGGGATGATCTCAGAAGTGGGGGCGATGACATCGCTGTGGTTACGCACCTTTCCGCCGCTTAAATCCCGCGGCACCCGTGCTGGCTGTGGCTGAAAGGAGAAGTGGGTCTGTGCGGTACAGGCTCTTGAGGTGTGATTGGGAGGGAGTGTTACTCTGAAGGTGGCACAAGTATTAATTTTTTTAATAGTCTATATTCTCTATGTTGTAGTATACTTTACTTTCATACTACCTACTTTTTGGACTACATAGGGATTTTCACGGTACACGTTGGTAGTGTAAAAATGAAAGATCACGTTGCAACTTTGTATAAAGAAATTACCTTGCAAAACAAAGGCCCCTTTTTTTTTTTTCCTTTGGCTTGGGACTCTTGAGACAATTCCTAACATACCTGTAATTCTTGCTTTTATAATTTGTGCTAGCAGAGATTATGATGTGTTATAAATGTAGATTTAATGTGCACTTTTGTGCTTTCTGCCAAGTGGTAATTCACTTTGGAGTTTTACTATGTTAAAACTGTAAATATAGCAGAACATTAATAAATGTCACTTATGTAGCAAATTTTCCTGCAGAGCGGTGTTTCATTTAGTTTCAATGCTTTATTGCACCTGGTTATTGATTACAAATGCAGATTATCTGTGGGACTTTGGGTACTTTTCCGCAGAGGGTGTAACACAGATCTCCAAGGTGTCCGTCTTCCTTTTTGTAACCAGGTTTTCAAACCCTGAGGCCGTCCTCGGCGTCAGCCTGGCAGGTCAGGGAACGGCGATTCCACGCATCTTTGGGGACGTGTTGGGTTTTTCTTAGCCTCACGTGTATAACTCCTCTGCCTCGTGAAATGGTTTGTTCGTGGGTTTGAACTTCTCACACGTATAGTCCTCACAAACAAGCAGCTGGGGCTGGCAGAGATAGATGGAGGTTACACAGAGACTTCCTTTTTAAACAAGAACAAACGTGCACGGAGGGAATCACTGAGTTTATCCTGCAAGGCAAAATCTGTAGCATTAGGGAACTCTGAATGCCATTTGCCCAAACTTGGTAGGTCAGCCTCGTGTTTACTCTCTTGGCATCTGGGCCTTACTTGGTCTTGTATGTTCAGA